TTTTTATTCAGGCAATATTTTAGTTTTATTTATGCAATATTTCAGTTTTTATTCAGGCAATATTTCAGTTTTATTTATGCAATATTTCAGTTTTTATTAATGCAATATTTCAGTTTTATTTATGCAATATTTCAGTTTTATTCATGCAATATTTCAGTTTTATTTATGCAATATTTTAGTTTTAATTATGCAATATTTTAGTTTTAATTATGGGATATTTCAGTTTTATTAATGCAATATTTCAGTTTTATTCATGCAATATTTCAGTTTTTATTTATGCAATATTTCAGTTATTATTAATGCAATATTTCAGTTTTTATTAATGCAATATTTCAGTTTTATTTATGCAATATTTCAGTTTTAATTATGGGATATTTCAGTTTTATTTATGCAATATTTCAGTTTTTATTAATGCAATATTTCAGTTTTATTTTTGCAATATTTCAGTATTATTAATGCGATACTTAAGTTTTATTCATGCAATATTTTTTTGTTTTTATTATAGCAATATAGCAATATTTCAGTTTTTATTATGGGATATTTTAGTTTCATTGATGCAATATTTCAGTTTTTATTCAGGCAATATTTTAGTTTTATTTTTAAATTTTTTTTTTGTTTTTATTATAGCAATATTCCAGTTTTATTTATGCGATATTTCAGTGTTATTTATGCATTATTGAAATTTAGAATTATGGGATATTTCAGTTTTATTTATGCAATATTTCAGTTTTTATTATGGGATATTTCAGTTTTATTAATGCAATATTTCAGTTTTTATTCATGCAATATTTCATTTTTTATTTATGTGATATTTCATCTTTATTAATGCAATATTTAATTTCTTTCTGCTCTGAGAGCTAAATATGCAGCTTTGCATTTTTTGTGCGTGTTATAAATGCAAAAATGTGTGTGTGTGTGTGTTTGTGTGTTGTGCAGTGTCAGTTTGATTTTGCATGGTAATTTATTTAAATAGACTGTTTGACATTAGCAGAATCAGCATTTGAACGCATTCAGATCACCTTATCTTTCATTATTTTACTGAAATTACATTTGCATAAATATGTGTCTGTCTGCAGGCTGTGTGTCTGTGTGAGGAAAAGAGCAAGGTATTGAAAAAGCATGCTTGGGTATTAACTTTATATTGATGAATTAGTTGCTGATGGTGAGTTTTAAGCTGTAATTGATTCAGCTTTTTTTTTTTTACTGTTATAACTTTTACCCCATGTCCATGTCATAAATTTGATAGCTCAATTACCTGATATTGATTTGCACACAATAATGTGTGTGTGCAAATGGGTTTGAGCTCATGCAGAGTAAATTTTACTGCCCTTACGTGTCGGTTTCATAGCTGAGGTGATATAATGGAGATATTAGTCATGTTTCGTTCGAGTACTCTACCTTATAATTAAGATTGTATTTTTAGAATTGAGTCTCTTTGCTCAACAAGGCTTCAAAAATACTGTGAAACTGCGGAATGCTTGTATATTTTAACATATTAATTAATTCATTCATTCATTCATTTTCCTTTGGCTTAGTCCCTTTAGTCATCAGGGATCGACACAGCGGAATGAACTGCCAACTATTCCGGCATGTTTTACTTAGCAGATGTCTTTCCAGCTGCAACCCAGTACTGGGAAACACCCATACACTCTCTCATTGACACACACACTTATACACTACAGCCAAATTAGTTCATCTAATTCCCCTATAGCTCATGTGTTTAAACTGTGGGGGAAACCAGAGCACCCGGAGGAAACCCACGCCAACACGGGGAGAACATGCAAACTCCAAACAGAAATGCCAACTGGCCCAGCCGGGACTCAAACCAGCGACCTTCTTGCTGTGAGGTGATAACGCTAACGACTAAACCACCATGCCACCCTATTTTAAACATCACTTCCAAATAATTGAATAAATATGACATTTTCACAGGAGGGCGAACGATTGCATCTGTAAACAAACAACATTCAATATGCAATCTGTAAACTCACAAGTGCTTTCATTTGGAGACGAGGAGAACTCTCAGATCTTGTTTGCAATCAGAAGTCTTTATGAGCATTAAATGATCCGAGCTTCATATTCGTTTACAGCTTTACTGCAAGATAACGAGCGTCTCGCTTCTGTCTATTTTTATTCCTCCAGAGCTATTTTAGGATATGATGCACTGCTGACTGATAGTTTGGGACAATTATGATTTTATTTATAGCTGAAAGAGGAAAGATTAATCTGCTCACTGAGGCGGAAACAATTCAGGAAAATAAGAAATATTACAATTTCAAATACGCCTAGGTAGCATCATTTCACCAGTCCTGAATGTCACATGATCCTTTAGAAATCATTTTAAAAATTACAATTAAGTGAAGTTTTGTTTATAAACTAATTTCGAGAGGATCACGTGCTCATGATTTGTCACAGCCTGTCTTGTATTTTCCCAGTACTGAGTTGCGGTTGGAAGGGCAGCCGCTGCGTTTAGCACATGCTGGAATAGTTGCTGGTTCATTCCGCTGAAGTGACCCTGATAAACAAGGGACTAAGACCAAAGAAATTAATGAATTATGACATGTGATTTCTTAAAAGTTAAAAGATTCCTTAAAGCAGTGGCATAATGCTGTTTCAAAGATAACTGTGATAGTTGTAATAAATAATCACAATTTCAATGGAATAATCAATAACAATTATGATATATTCATTCATTCATTCATTTTCTTGTCGGCTTAGTCTCTTTATTAGTCCGGGTTTGCTACAGCGGAATGAACTGCCAACTTATTCAGCACGTTTTTTACGCAGCGGATGCCCTTCCAGCTGCAACCCATCTCTGGGAAACATCTACACACATTCATACACACACACACTCGTACACTATGGACAATTTAGCCTACCCAATTCACCTGTACCGCATGTGTTTGGACTGTGGGGGAAACCGGAGCACCCGGAGGAAACCCACTCAAATGCAGGGAGAACATGCAAACTCCACACAGACACCCAAACTGTGCCGAGCCAATGTTCGAACCAGCGACCATCTTGCTTTGAGGCGACAGCACTACCTACTGCGCCACTGCCTTGCCATTATGATTTCATTCATTCATTCATTTTCTTGTCGGCTTAGTCCCTTTATTAATCCGGGGATCGCCACAACGGAATGAACCGCCAACTTATCCAGCAAGTTTTTACGCAGCAGATGCCCTTCCAGCTGCAACCCATCTCTGGGAAACATCCACACACACACACTCATACACTACGGACAATTTAGCCTACCCAATTCACCTGTACCGCATGTCTTTGGACTGTGGGGGAAACCGGAGCACCCGGATGAAACCCACGCGAACGCAGGGAGAACATGCAAACTCCACACAGGAATGCCAACTGGGCCGAGGCTTGAACCAGCGACCCAATGACCATCTTGCTGTGAGGCGACAGCACTACCTACTGCGCCACTGCTTCGCCCACCAATATGATTTATTATTTTTAAAAAAAATTATAACCAACATGAAGTCCTGGCTGTTTTATTTCAACTAAAGTGTTAGATAATGTTTGATAATTAAAGAATTAATTAACACTTTAGTTTAAGCTAAATGCGACCAACATGAACTTATGAGCTGTTGATGTATGTTTATGTCATGACTTTACTTGGAGGGGCACATTATCATTAACTCTTTCTTAACTACTTAATTATTAAACTAATAATGCACCCCTCCAAGTAAAGTCATGACATAAACTGACATTAACATCTCCTGAGTTCATTTTCTTGACATTTAGCTTCAACTAAAGTGCTAATGAATGCATTAATGAACAAACATGTACTAACAAGTAATTAGGATCATGTGACTTCATTCATTCATTTTCCTTCGCCTCACTTTTTTCATTAGGGGTCACCACAGTGGAATGAACTGCCAATTATTCCAGCATGTATTAAACATCGCCCTTCCAGCTGCAACCCAGTACTGGGAAACATCCACACACACTCATTCACACACACACATACACTATGGCCTATCTCATTCACTCATTCATTTTTTTGTTCTTGGTCCCTTTATTCATCAGAAGTCGCCACGGCCGAATGAACTGCCAACTATTCCAGCATATATTTTACACAGCAGATGCCCTTCCAGCCTCAACCCAGTACTGGGAAACACCCATACACACACTCATACACTATGGCTTATCTCATTCACTCATTCATTTTTTTGTTCTTAGTCCCTTTATTCATCAGAAGTCGCCACAGCAGAATGAACCGCCAACTATTCCAGCATATGTTTTACGCTGCAGATGCCCTTCCAGCCTCAACCCAGCACTGAGAAACCCATACACTTTTGCTATCACACCCATACATACTGTACACTACAACTAATTTAGTTTATTTAAGTTTGGACTGTGGGGAAAACCGGAGCATCCTTCAGAAACCCACGTCAACACAGGGAGAACATGCAAACTCCACACAGAAATGCCAACTGGCCCAGCTGGGACTCGAACCAGCGACCTTCTTGCTTTTAGGTGACAGTGCTAACCACTGAACCACTGTGTCGCCCTATCATGTGGCTTGCGTTGTAGTTAAAGTTCTTGATTAGCGCATGCCTGAACTCATCATTAGTTTATAATAAAGTTTAACGTGTGTGTGTGTGTGTGTTTTCCATATGTGCAGTGTTGTCTAGTGTGTGTGGAGTGAGGGTTCGGTGCAGGTGTATGAATGAATCTAAAAATAATTACAGCCAAAAAATCTGATACCATCACACACCGACTGACGTGTTTGTGTTTTTCAGATGTGCAGTGTTACGACTGGGGTGTGCGGAGCGAGGGTTCGGTGCGGGTGTACGAGGGCGAGGTGGTGCCGCTTTACTGTCCTCTGTTTTCTCACCCGACACTCTATAACTACAGTCAGACTCAGAACAGCAGCCTGTCCCTGCTGTGGTACCGGCACACACACACACAAGAGCTGGAGCAGCCCATCAACCTCAAACTGCACACTCTGCACAAAGAGAAAGAGTATCTGTGGATCCAGCCGGCCGCCGCGCAGGACGCCGGACTCTACATCTGCATGCTCCGGTAAACACACACACACACACACACAAACACACACACATGCAGAATATACACAATAAATGTATAGGAGATGTGCAAATTTGCACACAGGTGAAGTTATTAGCCATCCTGTGAAACAGGCATTCAGAATATGTGTGCTACCCAAATACTGACTAAAAGTAAGTCTTTGAGAACAGGTTTCTCAAGCTAGGTGTCACATTAGATCAGGGGCTTATCTCCTGTTTCCAAAATGCATCACACACTGCTTGAGGAACTGTTTTAATTGGTGATGGAAATAAATGATGCTCAATAAGATGTACTTGTGTTTACTGTTTATTTAGTTAAACATGAATGTTGAACTGTAGGCCTACATAAGCTCCAAACAGCCATTTTTGATCACCTTAATCTGACTAAAGTCATCACTGAACTAAGTGAAGTTTATTCATAAACTAATTTCGAGAGGAGCACGTGATTATGATTGAACACGGCTGGTTCTGCATTAGCATGCACGATCCACCAATCAGGTCATTCCTAACCCACTATAAAGAGCCAGGGTTTTTCACTACAGTCATCTTCGATTTGAAGAATCCCTCCTTCCACCCCTACCTCTTCACCTTTCCCTCCATAGAGCGGCACGGTGGCCCAATGGTTAGCACTGTTGCCTCACAGCAAGAACGTAACCAGTTTTAGTCTTTTAACATGCCGGTGGTCGTTTCTGTGCATAGTTTGCATGTTCTTCTTGTGCTCCACCAAGTGGTTTTCCCCGGGTCCTCCGGTTTCCTCCCACATTCCAAAAACATGCACAACAAGTGAATTGACCAATCTAAATTTTGCACTACCGTCAATCTCTCATCCTGCAGCATACCTCTTCATAGCATTCATTTTAGTCATCAGCTCTTATCAAGGGGGAGTTGTCGAGATCTTTTTGAGCTCAAAGCTCAGGTAGAGCTCAAGGACCTTTTGGGCTCAGGGCTCTCTCCCGGGACAGCATGCCAAACTTGCTTATAATCAATCATCAGCCAAGTGTGAACTCTTGAAACAGAAATGGAATTATGACATGTGGAGTATGCAGATATTAGTGGCATTACTGAAATAAACACCGCAATCAAACTATTGGACTTTTCACCATATTTTACAATAGTATGATCCAGCACAACTGGAGTAGCTGCACGTTCAGGACCGCATGTATAAGACCGCATTTATAGGACCCCACTTGCGCGGCTGTGAGTAAAGGACCACACACACATGCACACATCGTGAAATGCTGAAGTTTTTTTTCTTTTCATTCGGCGTGCGTTATTAAATTCCATAACACTCTCACCAGTCCTTACACCTTATTTGCGTCTAATAGCAAATTTTAAGGCTTGAACATGACGGCATAATATAAATAATTATAAATCTTTTACTCAGTATAGTAAATACTGTGCTTATATAGTATTTTGATCTAAATAATTAGAAATATCAGTATTTTGATCTGTAGCATAACTAAATCATGCTGCATGATTCATTTTGTTTTCATTGTGTGTGTGTGTGTGTGTGTGTGTGTGTGTGTGTGTGTGTGTATATATGTATATATATATATATATATATATATATATATATATATATATATATATATATATATATATATATATATATATATATATA